CACTGCGGTGTTCCCGGAAACGAGGCTGCGGACAGACTGGCGGGATCTGGTGCATTCCGTCCCCGCTAAACCAGAAACGTACCCCTCGTAGACGTCAGGCGTTGGATTGTGAATACTATTATGGAAGCCTGGCAGCAGGAATGGTTCCTGTCGCGGACCACTTTCCTGAGGAAGATCAAGGAAACTATACACTCCTGGCTGGACAGTCAAAAGTACAAGGACCAGCGGATCATCTCAAGACTCCGGACCGGCCATGCGAGGATTTCCTGTAATTTCGGTGGGACACCTTTCCGCAAGGTTTGTTCAATTTGCAGCATGCCCGCCTCGGTGGAACACGTGCTGTGTGTCTGTCCGGAGTTCCAGAAGTTACGCGAACAACATGGACTCCCGGAGAACGGAGCTGCTTGGTTACGACCCCTCGACGTTGGCTGCGCTGATCGCCTTTCTGAAGGACGCCCACTTGTATGATCAAATCTAGCCCCCCGTCGGTGGCTGCACTGATCGTGTTATCCTCACCTTTTTATTTTTTTTTTGCCGTCGGGGTTTCTTCACCGGACCGGGCACTGTCTCCTACGGTGGAGCTCTACCAACAATCAATACGAAACTAACGATTTTAAATTGGCTCACCACTTTAGTAGCCTATTGGTCCCAAGCAAACGATTAACGTACCCTATTCTAGTTGAAATTCTATTACTACACTATGTTTGTTTTATTCGCTATGAAAGTTTGACAGATAACATCAGGGGTGTGTGGATTCATGCAGAACATGCAGGGGTGAGTGACCGTTGTTCTGGTACTGAGTGAGCCAAAAATAATAATGATTTTCTTCGGGATTCAGTGGTCTTAGAGTTACCTCTATGGCTCTACCTTGTTCGTGCACCCAGTCCTCACCACAGCCCCGATGTAATCCTCACTTTACGTTAAGTTTTTAAAATGTTGTCTGTCTCATTCGTTGGGTAATCAGAGCCAGTTATATGTCACGTTAATTAATGTCAAGTTGAAACCTATTTTTTTTTTTTAGGCAGGATCTAGCCTGACCATCTGCTCTATAAAGAAAAAAAACCTCGTCAGTACAATACATGGAAACCTGTACTGCGAGTGGTTGAAGAGAAGCTAATGGACGAGGAGCTAACGGAGAAGACTGAAAAACTGAAGATTGCTTCGGCTCAGATTGCATATTTGAATGAGCAGAATCGTGAACTCAGTGCTCGAGGTTTTGGCCAGGTTGTAGCAAAGTGAGGAAATGTGGAAGATCATGAGCCACTACCGGAAGATACTGCAGTCCCAAACAAGGCTGTGCAAGTTATTCCAGATGGACAGTGAAGTTCAGATGATGAAGACTGAAGAACTGAGTGTCGTAGTTTGGGAGTTGAAGTAACTTTGTCTGAAGAAACAAGTCTCGTCAGAAAGCTGTACAACGGAACTGATCACTGTCAATATATTATATGAACCGTGGAGGCCAACGGAGCACGACCCCTTTTGTGGCCTGTTAGGATTAGAGTAGCAGTGATTTGTGGAGGCGTGTGGAAAGCGATGATTAACCTCTATAATACATGCGTGAATGCATGTGCCCCTAGTAGGTGTAAAGACTGGAACGCACAAAAATTGGTCGTCAAAAAATCGTTTCTTTCGGTCAAAATTCATATCACAAAAATCTTCTTATTTTTCTTTTGGTAGTTCAATTCATATATTTAAAAGAAAAAATGTTCGTTTATTCTTTTGGTTTGCTGAATCCGAACTGCCGTGCCTTCCGCTTAATCCCTTCCATTAAATTTTGCACAGTGGTCTCATCGACCTTATTCGCTGCCGAACGCCAGTTAGATTTAAACTGCTGCTCGTTTTCCATGGATTTATTTTTTTTTTTTAGATTCCGTTTGACCAAGGCTTAATACCGTTTGATAGGGTGGAATTCTGAGCTGATGGGAGGGTTGTGGTCTTTGGGTACCACAACTACGTTGTTCGTATCGTTCCACTCGATTGCCTTTTTCACATAGTGGCAGCTCGCCAAGTCCGGCCAGAACAGCACAGGTCTATTATGTTGCTTTAGGGATGGTAGCAGCCGCTTTTCTAGGCACTCCTGGACGTAGATCTCTTGATTGATGGTTCCCGTAGTAATGAAAATGCCACTTTTTAGACCACACGTGCATATGGCCTGTCAGACGAGATATTTTTTCGGGAGCTTCGATAGTTTGATGGTTTTGAATATTTCAGTCACCTTCCCTTTTCTTGATGCGGTATAAAACTCCTGTCCCGGAAGCTGCTTGAAATCCACCTTCACATAAGTTTCGACGTCCATGACGAGACAATCGAACTTTGTGAGCAGATTCGTAGCTTTCGGGACCGCTGCTTTGCCGACGTGTTTTGTTTGTAATCTCGGTTCGCCATCTTCACCTTCTTAAACTTCGACAGCCCGACTCGTTTCTTTGCCCGCTGCACAGTAGTTTGGGAGACATTGAGCTTGCCAGCGGCGTCCCGGATGGAGAGGTTAGGATTCCGCTTATATTTCACCACCACTTTCTTCGTCGTCGCTGCCACGTCCTGATTACCATTGCCGTCGCTTCGAGGCTTCCTGGCGGTCGACAGACGCTCCCCGAACACTTTTCAAACGTTTGTCACGGTCGATTTGGCCACATCCAGCAATTTTGCCAACTTGGCGTGTGACACGGTGCTCCTCTTTCTTGGACGTCATTTTGAAAACTGGAGAGCAAACGGTGAAAACTCATCATAGCAACCATTGTATATACACTCAACTTCCAAATGCAGCATTTGAGGTTTTTTATGCATTTTTAACAGAAATACACCAATTTGAAGTTTACCAATTTTTGCGCGTTCCAGACTTTAATACCTTATCATCGCCCCTCATCAAATGACAGATTGCATCATATTCGGTTCGCATTGCGCACTGAAGGGATTACCGTAAACACGCGTTTTGTATTCCTTTAATTCGTATTATTAAGGTGATTCCTTGTAAAGTCCACAAATGGTCGCCACGTAGACCATACATCCACGTCACCTTCGAATTTTCAGGTACACAAATCTCGGAAATCAGTGCCCCATTTAATTGGAAATTGCTACTTCATATGCTGCACTGCAGCATGGAGCAAGGTTGCTTCCACTCACTTGCTATTAAGGGATGCTTTACGGGATTGTGAAGTCACTGGAGGTTGTAGTTAGTAGATATTACAGGAAGGGATTGTAAAGTGTGTGTTTGACACATAAAACCTTTCAATATTGCTTTCAGAGCGTTCTCAATCGGTGAGTAAACGCTCACGAATCGTAAAATCGCTGATTGTGGCACTTTAGAAGCAAAGTTGATGAGTTTTGTGAGTCAGACACATATTTTACAACCTTTTCTTGTGGATTACAGGTACTAATTATCATTGTAACATATAATGATTTCATATTCCCGAAAAACAGATTTTTATAGCAAGTTAGTGGAAGCAACCCTGACGTGGAGTTACAATTTGTTGCACGTGTCGTAGAAGCTGATATTTGTGCACTTAAAGTTTCGAAGTGGTTACAAGAAATTATTACACCGATCTAAGGCTAAATCGTTTTTTTTTTCAAAGAAAACTTTCTTATTTATCCTGATTTTTGTAGAAAAATTCTGACTTGTCCTGATTTTAAATAAATTGAAAACCCACCCCACTCCCCACTGTAACGACATTTTTCGATTGAGTAAATTTTCTTTAGAACATCTGGTCCCTGATTCCCATGGGGATGCATTCTGATTTATACGGTTTTTTTTTTCTAAAGCCCTACAGTAAAAGTATGGACGTCTGTCAAAAGTTGATCCAATCGAACCGTCAAAAATAAGTTTCTAGATATAAAAAAAAAACATGACAGCTCGGCTGACAGGGCGCCACAATCGGAATGTTATGCGGAGAAGTTACACGGTAAGAAAAAATACTCAAATTTAAGTTTAAAAAAACTCAACGTTGGGTTCTATCATTTGAGGTCCGCCGTTGAGTGAATCAGAAAAGCGGCGTTGGTTAAAATTTACTCAACTATTGAGTAATAATAAATGAACTCAAATATAAGTTTATTTTCATTGAGGTTGCTCTTATGCGCCTTTAACCATTTCATCATATTCACAAGCGTTGATAGACGAGTGGTCAACACACGGGCCCCGTAATCTCAACGTCCATGGTTCGATTCCAGTTTGCTCCGTTTTATTATTTTTTTGTCAACTTTGTCAACGCCAGGATTACTCAAAATTGAGTTTTCTTCTTTAACTTAATTTTACCTAGCCCCACGGAAGCCACGTGATGAGTGAAAGGAACTCAATTTTGGGTACTTTTTTCTTACCGTGTATGTACTCATTTTTTATGATATAAATGGGTACCATCAGTCACCACGTGCTATGACGATAAAACAAGCTACCTGTACGATTAGTTTACAAACAGATATTGAAACATTACTCACAACTGGGCTAAAAGTAGATTTAACAAATCCCCAGTAATGATAACAACCCAAACAAAATATTTTCACTTTTATCAGTTAATTAACTAGGTAGGTCGCACCGTTACGAATCCACCAGCTGGAACTGAATCATAGCCTACATATCTGACATTTCAAGATCAATCGCAACGGGACTCTATCTCTCTAATAACGGTTTGTTTGTTTTCACTTCAAAGCGTGGAAAACCCGTTCCACGTACATGTTCCATTGCAGAGGTCTTCCTAGTTTAATTCGGTGAACGATAAAAATTTATGCATGCGAGCAAATATTGGTGGTCAACATTTCGGCATATGTGAGCTCTCCTGAGCCCGCACCGGGGTCCACAGTGCAGTGACGTTAACAGCGTTTGATGAATCAACGCCTCGTTGATCGATAGCTGGCTACATGTCAAAGTTTTATTGCTGTACAGGGTGCTAAAATCACTGCAAGAGGTAGGTTCTCTGACGTCACTGAAATTTGTGTATATCTTATCAGTGGTGCAAAAGGTCTGACATAATTCGATTGACTATTACAGTTTATCAAGAAAGGGGTTCTCCGCAGAAACCGGCTTGTTTGGTTTTGTCTTTATGTACGATCGACATTTATGGAAGACCCTCGTGGAGGTCGTGACGCGTTAAACTGTACAATCCATCCGAATTTTACGTCATCGATCCTTCTGTAAATATTTATCATTGCCGAATGGTGTAGAGCAATGCTCGAATATAAGCTGGTGCACAGTCCGGGACTCAAATCAGTAAACCATTAGCTGTGATAAACGCAACTCGATTAGAAGAACTGCTTAAGACATAATTTAAGAAACATGAAATCCACCCTCGCAATTCTGCTCAGTGTCCAGCTTCTGTTCGGTTACCAGTGCTCCGTAATTCCACCGCAGGGCCCATCGGTAGTGCCCCAGCAGTACCATCACTACGTTCGACCAATAGTGTATCAGTTAAGCTACTATTACAACATCTACAACTCACAAGCGGACAGCAGCACGGAGATGCCAAAGCAATTGGAAGAGGCACCTGTAACAGTGATTCCTGAACAGGAGACCGATGGTGGAACCCCAATGGCTGGTGCGAATAGTTTTGCTATTTTCGATGCACCACTCGTATGCCCTCCCGGTCAATCACCAGACCCTAAAGGAAGGTGTAGACTACGTCACTAGTTTGTGTAGAATATATTAATCAAATTGTAATCTCATTTTAAGTAAATAAAATAAAATTCGCATCTTGGTTACCAGTAAGGAAATCTTCTGCTTTTGAATAAGCGTAATTCAGTTGAGTGATGTCACACAAATGCCCACCGTAGCACCGTTAATCAGACGAAGGTCACACAGTCGTCATCGAAGTCGGTTGACAGGGGCCGCTCTAGAAATAGCTTACTTTCCGACAATTACCGCGGTGATCGAGTTTTTGCCCCTTGGGACAGGTCCTTGGTGCAACTAATATGTTGACGCCCTTAAATTGATGGAATCAATTAGAAATTTTCTCACTACACCATTGTGAGCAGATTCTTACAGATATTTGAGCTTGTCCATATTCGTTAACCGATGATTCAATTTCCCCTTCAGCCGAAGAGTGAGCAACAATGGTTTCTTCAAAGTTTTCCACCACTTCCTGTTCTGCAGCATCCGGTTCGTTGGGGTTGATGTCGTCTTCTTCATCTGCACGACAGTTCGATGCCTGGGAAAGACACAAGGTAAGGATTATGGCAAAAATTACTTGCGATGGAATTTTCATGATTTTAACTGTTGAAACGATTGAGGCAGAATGAATGTGATTTTAGACCCTTATCAGTTTTGAATTTGCTGTCGCTTTGTATTAGTGAAATAAGATGAACTTTTTTAATTTTTTTTTTGTAATCGAATATGATGGAAGAGCTATCTCTCGCGTGGTGAAAGTAGGTAAATGCTTCCAGAGTCAGACACATAGTCACCCTAATAAAAAATTACAATAAACGAACGATAACCCAAATAATAGAACTATTCCACAAATGGTTTGGACAACGGCGCCGGTGGTGTAGTGGTAAGCGTGATTACCTCTCACCCCAGCAGGCCTGGGTTCAATCCCAGTCGGCGCCGCCGGGATGTTCTGAGGCATAACATCTCTGATCACGCCTTCCTTCGGATGGGAAGTAAAGCCGTTGGTCCCCGGTTCATGAGTTGATGGGTCGATAGGTAGGGTCCAGGTGTGGGAGTTGCCTTCCTGGCACGTCGGTAGCATTGGTGCTCAGCACGGAAAACAAGATCGACGGAAAAAACAAACCAAAGGAAATGGTTTGGATGATACCCCGAACACGTCGTTAAGCAAAATAACCATAACAATTTTATTAGGACAGAAGGAAGGAAATGAGCAGAAGGGATCAAAGTAGGGGAAATGGATGAAATGTCGGCCGAAACGCCCCTAATTTGGGCCCATACATAAATTCAGCAATCGACTAAATTTTCAATAGCTACCAAAAATATCCCAATGTCCCAATGACGCGTTCATCTAGATAAAATTGATAAATAGCACATTTTTAGCGATGGGCTCAATCATAGATCCATTGGCCAACATTAGAGCCATTTCCCGTATATATAAATATTACTGGTGATGTACACATTTAGATTTTTTGGCGAGATGTGCACAACCGAGCAGCTCGGCATTTTATTTTGCTGCATCTCAGTGGAAAACTGGCCGTGTAAGTGTTGGTGTAAGTGCGTAAGTGTTATGGCACTAGTGCTCCAATTTTTGGACCCGGGGCCTAACTCAAATTTGAAATAAATATTCATGGTTTTATTTACGCAGATGTATGGCAAAATGTGTTGGGAACGGATGAGCACCTTGATGTTTAGCCACCTGGGCTGAAGAGAAAAATAACTTGATTACTGGCTACACTGTATTTAATGCCTTTTGACGTTTCAATTAATTACACAATAAATCAGCAACTTGTACGACTTGTACACATGTGTTTCCAGTTTTTATCCTCGATAGTATCCGCGGATTTTTTTGTCTGCCCTCTGGTGCTCCCTTTGTTCGATTTCCCGGTGATTCCGTGTGTCTCTGTTGCGTCCAGGTCTTCAGGTTATGGGCCTTGCGGCAGGTGAATAAATAAGTACTTGTGTGGTTCCTGCCGAGAGTTGGTTTACCGGAGGGTGCACAGTTTGGTCATCAAAGGAAAGTTTTAGTGCAGAGAAGAAAAAAAAAGGTAAGAGGTTGTATCCAAGACTCGACGTAGGATTATATGGTAGGGAAAAAACTATTTGCAGGCAATCGGTGATAATTTTGATCACCATTGCAACAGTTGGACATTTTTGTAATTTTCATTAGTGACCTATTAAAAATTGTAAAAGTATTCATTTTAGCAGATTTATAGAAAAATTACCAATCGATTGGCTTGTTTAGAATTAAAATCCATCAGCTATTGACAGAGTTATAAGTGGTCAAAACCTGACCACTTTTCGTAACGCGGTCGATTTTGTTTTTTTTTTAAATTGCACCCCCAATATGTTGCCGAAAGACGTAATCCTACGTCAAAAAAGATCAAAATGGCGGACGGCATGCGACCAACAATCAATACGAAACTAACGATTTTAAATTGGCTCACTACTTGACTAGGCTATTGGTCCCAAGCAAACGATTAACGTACCCCGTTCTAGTTGAAATTCTAGTACTACGCAATGTTTGTTTTGATTAGCTATGAAAGTTTGACAGATAAAATGAGGGGTTATTGGTTTTTCCTATGTTTCGAGGGGTGAATCGATTAGCTTGGGACCGAAGAGAGTACCAGAGCTGAGCCAAAAAGTTGAGCACGGTTTTTCGGGACCTTCTTAGAGTTACCTCTATGATGCGACTGTCTTTCGCGAAGGTGAGTAGCAGGCGCTACTTGAGCGTAACGAGTTGTGGGACGTAATTATCACAGCGAAACCGGAGTAAGTGGATGAAAATTATGTGCAGTGGAAGAAGAATGATGCGAAGGCTCGCGCGACGATTTCGTTGTTTATTGATGACAGCCAGCTGCGTTTCGTCAAGAAAGCAGAAACCGCGCGCGATATGTGGGATAACTTGAAAACCTATAATGAAAGAGTGACGATAGGCACCCAGGCAATGCTACTATAAAGGTAACTCTAAGACCAGAAGGTCCCAAAGAAACGTGCTCAACTTTTCGGCTCAGCTCTGGTACTCTCTTCGGTCCCAAGCTAATCGATGCACCCCTCCAAACATAGGAAAATCCACGAACCCCTCATTTTATTTAACTTTCATAGTGAATCAAAACAAACATAGTGTAGTACTAGAATTTCGACTAGAATGGATTACGTTCATCGATGTACTTGATACTGATAAGCTAGTCCAGTGTGAGCCAGCACCGAGCAAACATTAGAAGCTGAACAAGAGCTAATTCAGTCAAACATTTGCTTCTTCAGCTAAAAAATAGCTTATTCAGCCTTTAGGCAGCCCAAATTGTTTATTAGGAATTTAAAATCGTTACACAGACACAAGGGCGTAGCCAGGTTTCGAACTAGGGAGGAGCGAAAAAAAAAATGACTGGAAAATTTGGCCGAGTGCCATTTCACCGAACGCCATTTCACCGAAAGCCTGCACGCAGAAAAAAGTTTTTTAATTTCAATGATATTATGTATTAAAAACAACAACAAAAATTATCATTCCCCGGCTAATAACTTTTTTTATTGAATTCAACAATAAATCTTTATTGTTCGGACATAAAATATTGTTGTTTTCAAAATCTGTCAAAAACGCAATTAAAAATATATTTTGTTGAATTTACAATATTTATTTTCAAACAGACAAAATCTTTTTTTGATAAAAAAAAAATAAGTTGTTACAAACAATAACTTTTTTTATTCAAAAAAAAAAAATTGCTGCGAATAACAATTTGTTTTTAATAATTTAAAAATAAAATTGGTTTGGCATAAATATTTTATTTTTAATTTTAGCAGTTTTTCTATTCGAAAAATAATTTTCAATAAATTTAAAAATTGTTTTTGGTTCATTTTCTATTTATTAACAAACGGTACAAATAGTGATTCAATAGGTTTATCAATTATACGAAAAATACCGGCATTATGACCTCTCATTAACGGTATGTAAATTAATAGTTTTCGTTTCGAAACGGGCAACGTTTCCACGGTGTATTGATTTGCTGGAATTGGGGAAAAAAATCGTTAAAACACGTATTAAAATGCAAATACTGAATTCCTTACAAAGAAAGCAACTTGTTCAAAAAGAACTTCTTTCGACGAGACTGGGAAGCCGAGCATGCACAAGCATTGAAAACACACACATACATTGACAACATGAGCCTGTGTATGTTTTGGAAAAGTGTTGCTTTTAAATTTACAATATATTTTTTAAAAGTAGTTAAAATAATATTTGAAGACAAAAATATATTTTATTGAATCTACAATATATTTGTTTTCAGAATTTGCAATGAAAACAACAAAAAACATTTTTGAAGCTACAAAATATAAATATTGAATTCAAAAAAAGTTATATTTGACATTGCAAAATATTTCAATAATATTTTTTTTGGTTCAATAAGGTCAATTTTCTCTGCGTGTGTGTGTTGCTGAGCTTAGGGGAGAGTTTCCCCCCCCCCGCCTGCCCCCCTCTGACAATACGTATGCACAGAAAAGCAGACGTAATACTCGCAAAATGTTCATCGAACTCGCATTTAACGATAAATTTAAATATTTTTTAGTTGGTTGTACCAACCGGTGGAAACTAACGATTATAAATTGACTCACTACTTGACTAGCCTATTGGTCCCAAGCAAATCGATAACGTACCCCATTCTAGTCAAAATTCTAGTACTACACAATGTTTGTTTTGATTCGCTATGAAAATTTGACAGATAAAATGAGGGGTTAGTAGATTTTCCTATGTTTCGAGGGGTTTAGCCTGGGACCGAAGATAGTACCAGAGCTGAGCCAAAAAGTTGAGCACGTTTCTTCGGGACCTACTAGTCTTAGAGTTACCTCTATGATAGTACCAGAGCTGAGCCAAAAAGTTGAGCACGTTTCTTCAGGACCTACTAGTCTTAGAGTTACCTCTATGGTTGTAACAACAATCAATACGAAACTAACGATTATAAATTGACTCACTACTTGACTAGCCTATTGGTCCCAAGCAAATCGATAACGTACCCCATTCTAGTCAAAATTCTAGTACTACACAATGTTTGTTTTGATTCGCTATGAAAATTTGACAGATAAAATGAGGGGTTAGTGGATTTTCCTATGTTTCGAGGGGTGAATCGATTAGCCTGGGACCGAAGATAGTACCAGAGGTGAGCCAAAAAGTTGAGCTCGTTTCTTCGGGACCTTCTGGTCTTAGAGTTACCTCTATGGTTGTACCGCTACCTGTGGCGCGCTGAGTCAATTCCCTTGCGTTTGACGTTTACACACTACCGCCATATGTTCAGCATACTGCCCATCACAGTATACTCAATAATGGCGGTAGTGTTTTAACGACGATGTTCTATATTGTCGAGATAAAAACGCAGTTTTTGGTTGGAATCGCAACAAAGAAACAAGACATTTTCACGAAGTATCGAGCCAAAGTCGGAAAAAAATACGGTAGGTAAGACATTGCAGAATTGCCTACACAGAGAAAAAAAAAATTACCCTAAATTTAAGTTCTTTTTACTTAATTTTGGGTAATTTTGAGTTTTGCATCCCACTCTCATTTTTTGTTGTTGTCAAAAACGGAACGAGAGATTCGACTTTCTCATGACTATCGTTCAATAAGCTACTAGTGAG